CCCGAGAAGAAGTTTGAATGGATTAATCCTTCAAGGAGAGAAAGAAGAAGAGAACAGCAAACATATTCTGTTGATGATTATTACAAGGATATTATTGGAAACTCTAAATCGAAGGAAAAGGCTGCAGTTCAATCAAAAGTACCAAAGGCGCCTAAATTCATACATGGACAAGACTTCCAATTTTTCCCAAAGGAACTAGAAGCATTGCAAGAGAAAGAACAATTATATTATAAGAAAAAAGTAAATTACAAGGTTTCAGCTTATGATGTAGGAGCTACAGGTAGTGATGATGAATATGATTCCCAAGCTGACGATCAAAGTGATACAAAATCTGTCAAAGAAAAAATTAAAGAATTGAAGGAAAAAATAGAAAATGCACCTGAATTTACTGAGGAAGATGAGAGGGAAAAGCAAAGATTATTATCAGAATCCTTTACCAACTGGAATAAGCGTGAATTTTTTGCTTTTATAAGTGCGTGTACCAAGTATGGTACTGATAATATAGAGGTAATCAAAAAATCGATAGATACAAAGACTCCTGAGGAAGTAGAAGCCTATTTTACAGTATTCTGGAAAAGATATAGTGAAATTAATGGTTATGAAAAGTATCTTGCGAATATTGAAGCTGGTATGAAGAAAAATGAAAGATTAAAACTTCAAGAGATTTTAGTTAAAAAGAAAGTTGAACAATATCAATATCCACTCCATCAAATGGTAATTCAATATCCACCAAATAATGCTAGAAGAACTTATAATTCCTTAGAAGATAAATTCATACTAACTATAATTAACAAATATGGTCTTTTTGATGAAAAACTATGTGAAAAATTAAAACAAGAGATTATGGTCAGTAAATTATTCACATTTGACTGGTTTATTAAGTCAAGATCGTTGCATGAATTATCAAAGAGAGTCAATACGCTCTTAAGCTTAATAACAAGAGAGCATGAAGCACCAGAAACATTGAAAAAGAAGAGAAAACAACCAAGTGGAAGAGAGGAAACCCCGTCTTCTCAAACAGCTACACCTTTTGTAGGTCAATCCCTCAATGAAAATGGTATAAACCACAACAAAAAGGTTAAGGTGACCCCTGAGTAGTATACTCAGTTTGTAATAATATGCTTTGAAGAAAAGATAAAAAGATTTTATAGGCAAGATCATCATGCATTGATAATATATACTAAGGAAAAATTGTATAGTAAATTGATAAATAAATAGATGCAAATATAGACCTTTATTTTGTACATGATACGGTACGATCTAAATGTAATAAATGTATATAATGTAAAAAGGTATGCGCTTGTTTCTAAAATCTAAATTCTTCTAATTGTTCTTCCTTGTTACCTTCCAGTATATAGTGATCTTTACTTTCGAGTTTATGCTTTTCCTCATTGTTGTTTTGTTTCCCTGGGATCTCGTATTTTAGGTCTGAAATCGACTTTTTATCAGCATTTGTATCAGAACTTTTCATTAGCACAGTATATAATTGTTGCTTCTTGTCATCTTCTTTGTTAGTGGTTTCCAACGGGGCACTAGGAGTTTGTTGAATAGGTTCTAATGCATTGCCATATTCTTCAATATTCTCAATTTTTTCATTCTTATTGCCGTTTGTATCTACATCTGGCTGAGGTGTTTCTACATCTAATATATTTTCTGATTCAGACCCTTTAGCCGAGAACAATGCACCAAATACGTTACTACGTCTTTTTTTCAATCTTTTTGAATGGGCTGTTTTAGCAATGGAACCATATCTATTATTTTTAAAATTAGTAATATCCCAATTTATACCTGCAATCTTGAAATTAGGATAATTTGGTGGTAAACCAATTTTATTCATCTTTATACACCAAGGTGGCAATTGCCCCTCTTGGATATTTAATGCTTTCCTTAGCTCGTCGCTTATTAAACCTGGCTCTTTGGACTTTTTTAAATTTTTCCATTGCTCTTCGTTTTGAAGGTTTCTCCTTTCATAGTATAAGTCACCAAATCCTAATAACAATTCAGGCTTCCAATCAGCTCCAAGTTTAAAGAATACATCATGTAATTTTTTATAATCCAAATCTAAAGAGCCTAGTTTGGGTTGCATTCTAGCTCTAGATAATTCCTTCAATGATTCATCAGTCTCTTGCTTGCCTGGCAAAGTATTTCTCATCTCTTCTATTCCTGTTTGCTTGATTAATTCTGGTAATTCGAATGGTTTCTTACCCAACATTGATCTTCCAGATAAATATTCTTTTTTGGTTTGCCAATGGTCTGGCACAGGAACTATATTCTTTGATGACTTTATAGATGCTAAAAAATAAGGATTAAGGGCATCACAATCATACCATTCGATAACCTGTGGATACGGCACTGATGTTTTTAATCCTGCTAAAGTTGGTTTTGAAAGTTTTCGTATCTTTCTCTTTGAGATATCCGCCTCGAATTCATCTTTTACATTATCTTCCTCATTCTCTTCATTTATAAGGTTTTCGGATTCTATCACTTCAGACAAATTTTTATCTACTTTGCTGTCTTTATTTCGTACTTCAAACCTCGCAAATAAATCCTTATATGTATCTTTTAGCTCTGTATCCTTTGTATCATCATAATTAACTGCACTATCAGTAGAGACTTTTTCGTTAGCTATTCTTTCTTCCAAAGCCTTCGCAATGTTTTCCTTATCAAAAGAAGTCTTTTTGTTGTGAAGGGACTTCCCTTTTGAACGTTGTTTCGATTTCCTTGCCATAATGCTTCAGTTAGCACCTCAGATACCCTTCTTACCGTTATTACTTCTTGGTTCCATAGAAACCTAAACTAAACTATCTCTAGACTATTTTTCTTTTTTATCGATATTAAATATTGACTGTTCTAATATATCCGAGAACAAAATGCGTCTTAAAATATGTATTGGGCTAAAAATAAAATGGATTGATTGATAAAACTTTTGACACTTTGGAAATAAAATGATTAACATAACCAGTTTGATTACGGAAAATATACTACTTGATCTATCTGTTACATGTGTTGAATTTTGACTATTTTTGTATACTATTAGATTAATTATCTTCGGTATAATGCTGAGTATAGAGATAAGCTGCATCTGAACAATTCCAGAAAGGAAAGAAATCCAGAAGTAACAAGGATGGAATTTATTTAGTTTTGATTGTTTATTTGTCGGGTATATACATCTATTGAAAGTTTTTGATCATGTGTCTTGAATGGTCTGGAAATTTTTATTTTGTTATACTCTGCAGAAATGTAATCCCACACAGAAGTATCTGGCGATTAATAGACATCCTGCACTTACAAGACATGTCACAGCACACCATATTAAAAAGTGATCATAATTTACTGTTGATTTATCTCCAATGATAGCACCAGAAATTGGAAGGCCGGCTAAAGTTCCAAATGCCACTACAAAATACATTGTAGAATATCGTTTCCCAAATTCTTCAGTTTTTGAAACTTGGCCACAGCAAACTGGCAATAATGAGAAGATACTGGCAGAAAAAAAACCATAAAAAGCGGTGATTGCGTACATACTTTTAAGATCTTTCCCGAAAGGTAGCCAGCCTACTAGAATTACAATTGCAGCCATAACTAACGTTATAAACGTCACATTAAATCTGCCATATTTATCACTTAAATAGCCTTGGATCCATCTTCCAGGAATACCACACACACTTATAATTGTAAATATGATGTATGTGTCTGATTCTGGAATTCCATGTGCAGTGCAATACGCACCAACATATGTCAATGCTGACGTCAGAGAAACTTCGCCGAATACTGTTGAGGCTACAACGAAGAAATATCTTCTATCTCTAAAACCATTTATATCAAAACTCGTGAAAATATATACTCTAGCTATTCTATGCAGGGTAGATTCCTCTTTTTCACTCTCTTCTGCTAAATCAGGTATAGCCTTTCTTTTCCAATCATGCAGTAATTATCAGCAAAACTAATCAATAAACGCCCATGTTCTCATCCCCCATATATAACCATATTCGGAATTGAATGAATTCTCTATTGCAAAGAATTTCCTAATCATAATTGGAAAAATAATACCTCCAATAGAACCGCCAATTGTGGCAATTGATGTAGCAATACCTCTTCGTCTATAAAAGTAGTGTGCAGGACAACTTAACAATGGGCTTAGAATTATTCCATTTCCAACACCTACAAGAACAGAAAGTGACAGTATGAAATGCCAATATTTGTATGAATTTGCAGTAGCAAATAGTCCAGAGACGTGAAGTACAGTTCCCACTATAATTGGTACTCGGAAACCGTTTCTATCGAAGTAAGTACCACCATATATAGAGGAAGTATATGTAAAAAATAGCATCAAAGAAAAAATCCAACCAATCTGTGAAGAATCATTACCCTTCAACTGATGCCCTTGGATATAAGTTTCTACAGCACCAGATGCATTTAAAAGACCAAAGCATGCGACCAATCCCAGAAAGCAGGCAAATACTATTGACCATGCACGAAAACCACCTTCTGGATACTCATTTCCATCATCTTCTAGAAAGCTTTTCATCAACTTTTGGCTTTTGATAGATTGCTTTGACTTCTCACTCATTCTTCATCTAAGAGTATTGATTCTTTTTGAAGATATTCTGACACCTTCACTATTAGTTGAAAATGCGACGTCAGTTAGTCATAAATGATTTATTTTAAGATAATAAATACATATTCCAAATATAATATAAACTTTAAAGAGGAATTGTTGACAGTAGCGACCTATTTCTACTTCTGCTTATAACTTTCCAAATATTTTCATTGTCTTCTTTTTTTGCTATTACATCTACTATTTTCGTTATCACTATGGAGAGAGAGAAAGAATTTAATTGCAAGATAATGGAAAATCAATTGAATTGATACTTAATAAGGGTTGTTATGGTTTATTTGTAATTGTCTTCTTTTGCTTATGTTGGATCTATTTTTTGACTGTTTGAACATTACAAATCTTTATATCACAAGGACAATTTTTTGCTCTCAATTTTATCTTTTGTCAACAAAATTATAAAAAAGAAAAATCCTTAATTATCTACTAGTATTACATATTTATCTATCACTCATCATCTTCAATTTCTAATAAATTCTTTTCTTTAGCTGACATTTTCCTAGCCAAGACTTTAGCTTTAAATTTTGCCTCCTTTTTTTTATTACTTGTTGTTCCATGGAATTTTTGAGAAAGTTTCTTATAGGCTTCTTTTGTCGTTAGTTCGTTACCGTCTTTATCATTATAGACAAGATGAACTTGTGGATTATATGATTTTAATCTCTCATTCTGAATCTCACTGACCTTTTGCTGAATTTCTTTCTGTTCAATATTTTTTAGACTCTGAAGTTCTCGTTCATCATATTTCACTTTAGAATAAGAAATCTCATCTTCGAACTTCTGCTTGATTTTATCCAGCTCCTGTTCTTGTCGAAGCTTTAGCTTTCTGTCATTCAAAGGATTAGATATACCAGATTTTGATTCTTTAGATAGCTCAGGAAGTAATTCCTTATCTCGTAAAAAAAATAATGTTGAAGCAAGGCCATCGTAGAAATTTGGCTTTGGGGATTGAGCTTTATTCGACTCATCTACTACTCCTTCTCCATTTTTTTTAATCTCTAAATTGTCATCATTGATATATTTCTTATCTAAATTTTCTTCTGCGCTTATAACATTATCTTGGTCAACAAGATCAGATTTTAATGATTCTAGAAAATCAGACTTTTCGTCCATCACAAGAATACCACTGTTCTTCTTGGCAATAGATTGAAACTTCGACCTTTCTATTTTTTCTCTTTTCTCCCTTTCAATGTCTTTAGCAATTTGTTCAGCTGTAATTCCCTTGCTCGAAAGGAGTGACTTAGGCGTTACTTTCAAACTTCCTTTTATGGCCTCAAAGTCGTCATCTAAAAAGGAATCTTCATCCCTGTAATTCAACATTTCGAATATCAGAAGGCAATCTTATTTTTTTTCTTATTGTAGAGGAACTTTTATCTATCTTTTTTCTTTTCTTTATCTTTATTGGCTTGAAGTCACCTTCATCAGATAGTTCTGCAGCTGTGTCATTATTAAATGACACCTTCAATTTACCTTCTGGGTACGAGGTTGCCGTATTACTGTCGGTTTCAATAATACCAGCCAAAGTTCCTATTGCAAGTGCCGTATCATTTTCATGTTGATTATCAGCCTCATCTTCATCCTTTTCAATGTCAAGACTAGAAATACCCAGTGAAATTTTTTTTCTTCTATTCTCTTTGTTCATTTGACGAAGCTTAATATTTTTGGAATCTAATTTATAATTCGATACTTCTTCATTTTCTAGTATATCAATTTCTTCATCACCATTAGAATTTTGAATATCTTGTTCTTTCAATGTTAAGACAATATCTTTACCATAATCTAAATCGGATAGTTTATGAGAAAGCTTAATCACAGGAGTATGCTCCGAATTAACTTCATTTTGATCTGATTTATAATTTCTTGTTATAAGTTTCTTATTCTTTCCAACATTACTTAGCCAATCATCGTTCTCATTAGAGCTTCCTTGCAAATTAGAATCAGCAATATTCTCAGATATAGAGGATGAACATAAGTAATTGCTTTCCAACTTATGTTTTGGCGCCTCATTTTCTTTATGACCTTTCACCTTAGAACTATTCTGCTCATTAGGTTTCGCTACTGCTTCACTACTTATTGGTTTTAAGCCTAATTCTAATCGAAGCTTATTCGTCTCTTCAAGTGACAATGATTCAGCATTATTCATCATACTATTATGATACAATTTGTCTATCTGGAGTTAATTAAAGCATATTAAATAACCACGATAGGTTGTATTATGTAGCTTAAGTCGTTTTATAACATTGTATTAAAGTGCAAAAATATCATAACCGATTTGATAGCGACGGGAATAAGAAAGCGATGAGGTTAAAATTGAAAGTTAAAAGTTAATACAACATCATGATCTTACTTAATGTCAGTATTTCAGAATGTTTAAGAGTAATAAGATTAAGACAATATTGATTTAAATATCTATGTGATCTATTTCGAGTAAAATAATTCTAATTTACAGATGGATATGTAATAATACATAAAGATAACATTTATGTAAGAATGATGTGGTTAAATATTTGAAGTTTTGAAGAAAATATTCTTAGCTTTTAACTTCTTTATTTTTTTTCTTTCTTAGATTTTTTGTCCTTTTTATCTTTCTTTTCCTTCTTTTCCTTCTTATCCTTTTTAGATTTCTTGGACTCTTTCTTTTCTTCATCTTCTTCATCTCTCTTTCTCTTCTTGTCCTTCTTGTCCTTCTTGTCCTTCTTGTCCTTCTTATCCTTCTTTTCTTTCTTTTCCTTCTTCTTATCTTCTTCTTCTTCTTCATCATCTGAATCAGAAGCAGATTCCTCTACAGCAGCAGTGTCAGCATCAGCATTGTAGGCTCTAGCTTCTGTAATTTCTACTTTCTTAGCTTCACGTACAACCTTTGGTGTAGTTCTCAAATCTCTACCTTCTAATTGTGATAATCTATTTTCAACCTTTGCTCTAGCTTCCAAACCAATGTCACCAGAGTCGTCTCTATCTTCAGCTAATGCATCGTAACGCAAAGAGACAGCAGCTTTAGCAGCCAAAACTCTAGCAATTTTACCCTTGTTCTTACCGGTTGCTTGGCCGACTAAAGAAGCGTGGTACAACAAACCGTATTTTGGAGTATCATGTTTAGTCTTCAAAGCTCTGAACAAAGCTTTTTCGGCACCTAAAATTTGGATAGTTGAAGCTGGAGATTTAGCCAAAGAGATCAAAGAACCAGAGTGAGCAATCAATCTAGCACCTACTAATTCACCGACCAATTGAGTCAAATTTGGAGCAATAGCCTTCATTCTTGAGGACAAGTAGTTAGATAATTGTTCTCTGTAAGCAGCAAAGTCTACGATTTGATCAGCCAAAGCTTTGATATTATCTAAATCAGTTTCTGTAATTTCAGTACCCATAGAAACTTCAGCAGCAGTTTTGACACGTTCTTCAACTTCTTCTGGTAAGATTTCACTTAAATCAGTGTCAGCACACTTGGATCTGACACCCATAGCTAAGATGATTCTGGCATAAGCAACAGAATCGGTAACGATCTTAGCTAATTCAGGGAAATGCCAACCGTACCATTCCTTACATCTCATGGCATAAGTGTTTAATTCCTTATCTAGATCATCTAATAAAGCGATAGCTTGAATAATCATAACATCGACTTTATCAGCAGAAAATTTCAATTTGTGACGGCCAATGGAGTGAGCTAAACCTAAAGACATCTTACTCAAATCAGTATCGTTTAAACCTGGTAACAAATCTGGTAAATACTCTTTAACAGCTCTATAAATATCTAAAGTTACAGCATCTGAGACAACGTTAAAGTTTAAACCCAACTTGTTAATGGCATTAGCCAATTTGGTTTCACTAACGACCAAAGTACTCTTCTTATCCTTTTTAGCTTCTTCTAATAACTTTTGTAATTGTGGAGATACTTTACCTTCAATAATAGAGTTAGCTTCTTCCAATGCATTTGCTGCAGAATTGAACTTAGAGAAAGCAGCAATCTTAAATTCCTTCAAAACTTTGTCAGAAGAATCTAAATCTTGAATCAAAGAACTAGATTTATAAATTTTCTTGTCGGAAGCTTTCAATAAAGCATAACCAGCAGAGGTTTCAGTTAAAACATAAGCCATTTTTCGAATTCAATAATACTAAAATATATATAAATTATATGGAATCTCTCTTAAGTGTATAGAAAGTTTTATCGTTGTATAGTATCTGATCTAGTATCTTCTTTAATATACGCTTTCGTTATTCTAAAATCTGATCTCTAGTTTGCTGCAAACAACTTCAATTCACTTAACTGGCTATATCTTTGTATATATATCAATTCTGGGTAGGAAAATACTGCTGAAACTGAAAGAACAACTTGAGTTAAACAATCAACTGGCAAACAAGTAATATTCTGTATTTAATCCAATCAATTAATACTACATCTATTGTACCTATTGATACTATTATTTAATTACAATAAGTATAAAACTGTTCGATGAGGTTAAAATTTTTCATTTTGCCAAATTTTTCGCCAAAATTTTTTTTTTCACTTGTTTCTTTTTTTTTTCTTATTTTTCTTTTTTATGCATCGTTTCTTGTTTCAGAACCGATGGTGTATCACGTGATCTATTTGATGTATTTTTCCATTTTTGGTATATCCGGGTAAAGTTTGTTTGGTTTGCTAAAGGCTATTTACATACAACTCTCATCCACTTATCAAAATTTGTTATATATCTGAATTCGTAGACTAAATAAGTACAGACATTCTAACAAGACAAAAAACTTGACGGCACAGTTAACTACGTTCTGTTTTCGATTAGGTTATCTCGATTCTTAAGGTTATGTATTATTGTGTTCTAATGTACAGAAATCTATTTAAGTTTTTGGTTTTTTGACAAAGGCCTGAAGGCTTATACACTTCGTTGTATATATTTATATCTTCAATTTATGTCTTCAATTTTATTTATTTGATGTCGCCAGTACATTGTATCTTGTATATCTTTTTATTCTTAGTATATTCATCGTGGATAATTGGATTGTCCTGAATTGTTGTATATTTTCAATTTCAGTTTATTTTCCATTGGAATCTCTAAATTTGAAAAATACGAATGACAGTATATAAAAATATTGATGATAAAACTGGAATAGTAAAATTATCATCCCAATTGAATATATCAATACCTTCACTTAATGATGCAACCAACCCTCCTAATAATGACAATTGAGTTAATGATAGTCTGCTTGTTTCAGGTGTCCAAAGTATTTCACCAGATTTATTAACGTGAGCAAAATGTGGTACAAAAAATCCGTAGAAACCAGAGCATGCTATTATACCAATCACAAATGCAGCTAATGAACCTGCGAGTGACTTGTTCCTAGCTATCTTTGGTGTTAAATGGCCGTACTTTCTACCAAACGTGGATGCCGCCGTATCTGACCAACTTAACAACAATAATGAAATTATTGCTATATCTTTTGAAAAAAATGTAAACGAAAATATCAAACCTAGAATATACCATAAGACACCGTTATAGGTGTTGACTTCGTTTTTTCTCATTAAAACACCAACAACATGGCAGTATAAAGTATTGAAAAATCTCCAATTTAATCTAATAATATCAATAATAAAAATATTAATAAATGCAATTACTAAAGGTAAAATGACATTTTTGTAATAAACATCCTGTGTATACAAATATAGTGTAATGAATCCAATGGAAGAATGGAATACTTTACGTGGAACTTCATGCTTTGTAATAAAATCACCAAACCATTCATGAGACTTTATATGAATTTCAGTAACAGGTAAATGAACATCTTCTTCAGTTGAAACTTTTTCAGACTTTTTAGATCTTTGTCTTAATTCAGACTCACCATTATTAACGGGTCTATTACTCGCACTACTATCCTTAGACATAATATTAGACGTTCTTATAATTTTCTATATTTGCCAATATAGCTTCTTCTTCTTCTTCTTCTTCTTCTTCTTCTTCCACACACACACGCTCTCTTTCTCGATCTATCTATCTATAAAACCTTTAAAACAAATAAATATCAAGAACAATAAAAAAATTATACCAATAATGTCTTCAATCCTTAATACATTCGATATCGAAATCGAAATCTATATCATGAATCAAGATCAAATCATATTTATACATAATATTATATAGATTGAATATTACAATTTCGATAGCCTTAGATATTTTTTGAACGTTTCTAACATTTCCGTAGTGTTTATAGTTCTTAGTATTAAAGTGAGCGCATGTGATGTTTTCAAAAATGATAATGATAATTACAGGATTTAATCCGTAGTGAGATAATTTTTCATTCGAATTTAAGCAACAGACCAACGGTTATTACAGACGTTTTCTGATCAATGGTTAGTTTTTATTTATGGGTACTGAAGACTTGAATATTACGTAGAAAGTGTTATTTTAATAATGATTTGTCATTAATGAAACATATCAATTGAATCACTTATATCGAGTTTGCATAAGCAATGGGAGGGCAAAAAAAATCTAATTACTATTTTTTAAATATATAGTTCACCAGCAGTAATCAGGTTCAAAGAACGAAGAGCAAGAGCTATTTGGTTTGGAGAATAGTAAAATTAAAACTTGATAATTGTAGTCAATTCTTGTTTTTTAATATAGGATAATTTTATTAAAATCTACAAAAAGAATTACACAAAACATGTATTAGATAATTTATGATAACTGTTTGACAAAATAATAATGCACAGTTAAATTGTTTAGTAGAAGGTAGATGGTCTCTTGTAAGAGAAGGTCTTGGCAGATTTTTGGACTCTGTGTGGCAATGGGAATTTCAAGTCCTTGGTCAAGAATTGTCTGATGTATTGTCTCTTGACATCAGCGGTCTTTTCAATTTCAGCAACCTTCAAGATGTGGATGGATCTAAATCTAGCTCTGTGTCTAGCAGCCATATCTTGGTACAAAGTTTCGACAGCAGCAACTCTGGTAACGTCTCTGACTTCCTTGTACATGTTGTGAGTACCGGATCTAGAGTCGTATCTAACCCAGATACCGAAGTTCTTGACCTTAGTTGGGTGAGCTTCAGCAATTTGGTTAACAGAAACAACTTCACCAGAAGCCTTCTTGACCTTGTGTAATTTTTGCAAGAAGTACCAGTAACGAGACTTAGCAATAACTTCGTTTTGAGCAAAGATTCTCATTCTGAACAACTTTGGTTCTGGAACGGATTCAGTTGGCAAACGACGGCCAATGACTTGGTATTCTTTCAAGTGAGCCACTGTTAAAAATAAAATTGTAAATTACAATGAATTTAATGAAATTAAATTCATTCAAACATTATTGTTAGTAAAATATTACGGATCAATTGTCTTAATAGAATATTGAAAAATGTAAAAGGAAAGATGAAGAGTAATCAAATTATAAAGTATTCTGGATAAATTCAATGATTAAGTAAGATCACAAAATGAGGTTTTTGCACTATTTTAATCCTTTGTTTCTTGATAGATTCATCAGGGATATTATCTATATTTAAAATAGAGGATTCTTTATTTCTTGTATATCACCAAATAAATTCAAATGTACCACTATATCCCCATCTCTTTCATTGTTGTCTCTGTAGATCAACACGAAATATCATAATATTCTTTTACCACATAAGACAGGATCAATAATTCAATCTTAGAGATTCATTATAATCGACTTCCAACCACATTAATTCATTAGTCTTTGTAAATCTATTAAACCACGTTTCATTCGATTTCTTCAATTAGTTTTCTTCTTGTTAAATTTAATTCAATTTAAATTACTATCTTCTCTCCCAACATTTCACAATTTAATATAATTCATTACTCACTTTTTCTATACTGTGATTCCCTATATCTGTAATGATATTCCAAACCAGACACACCTCTGAATATAGGTTGCCTTTCACTTATACCTACTTCAAGTATTAACTATTAACAAGCTGTAACTACAAAGAATAATAATTATCACCAACTGAATTCCAAAGAGTAATATTTTCGATACTGTATGCACAATTGCAATTACCAAAACCCAAGCAGGCTAGAACTATTCGTTGGAACGATAGCTAAGCTATTGCTATTATTACAGACTATTAGAACAAAACATCGATCAAGCATTGACTACAACAAATTGCAAAACATTCATCATCAACTCTTAGAATAGATGACAATAAAGTTTCAAGAATCCACATCAATTTCGAAATTTCGAAAAGTTTCAACTCTAATTGTTCACTATAGCGAGAGGGTGATGGTGACGATGAGGCCTTGTCATGATACATTTTTACAAAGAGACAAGGATTCCTAGGCTTGTGATGGAGAGAAGACAAACTGATGAGCTTCTGCCTAGAGATGGAAAGGTCCTGTGACAACTGAATTAAATATTGAGGTTTAGACAGAGATTGGATGATAACCTTAGAAAGAACATTTGTTTGTTGTTGCCTAGGGAAAGTGGCGCTTTTCTCTCTAGTCAGATAATATTTAGAAAGAGATCCAACACTCTAATCACAACAAACAAAAAAGCGATTGGATGCGTAGGTACATTAACTTTTTATTTGTTCATGAAATGAATATCATGATTTGTTTGGTTTAACACGGACGAAATCAACTCTATCGATAAGTTGTTCCATAAAAAAAAAACAAATTGGAAACAAATAAAATGTACTGATGTTGTCCCTGAACATGTACGGATGTACAGTCTCTTTTACAATGAATTTATGTGACAGTAATCATTTGGTACGATATGCTTTCAAATCAGATGTCCCTAGGTCCTGCCTAAAACACACGGCTTAAAAGTGATATTGGTAAGATTACAGTGTCAGTCAGTCGTTTTAAAATATTGTTACCACTTTGATGAAATTAAAAAGAATATATGGTTCATTTATTTCAGATCATTGTAGTTATGTAAAAATTATTTATCTCTATATATTCATATAAATATATTTTCTGGTTTCGATCAATATTTTTCCTCTTTTTAATCAATGGAGAATAATTAAGAAGATTAATACTAAAAGAAATCAAAATATATTATATTAGCCTTTTTCTTTTTTTCAACTTAAACTTTAGCAGGTTCAGAAGGTTGGGTTTGAGCTTGAGGTTTGTTGGATTTACTGAAATATTCAGTAGCTTCTTTACCTAATCTTGAAATGGCTTTGTTAGTAGCGGCAAAAGAAGATTTTACATCCATAGTTTCAATTTTGTCTAATTCATCATTCCACATCTTGTTTGCATGAGCAACGTAGTTACAAGGAAGCATCGAAGTTTCCAAAACATCCTTGTACAATGCATGTAAACCTTTGTGACTAATATTTAATAACAAAAGGACTGATCTATCAATTTCACAACAGAAGTCATCTCTAACAACTCTATCTTTATCTGGTAAATATTTATCACCTAGAATTTCTACGTAATCATTGATTGGAGATACAATTGGGTCAAATGTACTTCTAATCAATGGTCTTTCGTCTGTGTCAATTACATGTTTATTATAAAATCTTCTCCATTTTAATAATTGACTGTGAAGTGGAGTGTAAACATTCGATTTAACAAGTCCAGTAGTTTTTTCAGTTAATGTAGTACTGTATCTGCTGACGTAGTTACATGGGATCATGGCTTCTTCACCTAATCTTTGATAAGTTTTAGTTTTCAAAGAAGGAACGACTATTTCAGTAGCATGTAAACTTGAATCAATAATTGTATCAACAAAGTCGGTTACTGGAGATAACATTTCGACAGTTTTTGATTCTCTTATATTATTGATGACTGGTTTAACATTACCGATAATCATTCTAGTACCGGCTACTTCATTTAGGATTAAATTAGTTTGTTGTACTAATGGGTAAGCCTTTAAATGTTCGACGGTCTTATATTTTTTAACAGGTAAGATGGTAGCCTTGTCAGGATCCTGTGGAGCTTGATCAATTTTTGCGCTACCTCCTTCCCTTGAGATTAATGTTGTAGTTTCTAATTTTTTTGACATTGAGCGAGTTCTATGCAATATTGCCATTATATTTTTAAGACTTATAATTTAAATAAAATAAAAATAAGCGAGATATAATAGTATATAGTCTATATATAAATGTATATTTATGAGTGTGTGACCAGAATATAGTAAAATGATATAAAATTAAAACAGACACAACTCAACAACTTCCATCAAAGATGAGAATTAAAAGTAAATGTTATTGGTTTTACTTGAAGTATTGACGATTATTTATATCTGGTTTTTTAAGATTATTTTAACAAAATATAACTTTCATTGAATATGTGTCACAAAAAGATTTCTATATTAATTTAATTATAAAGGAGATAGTGACAGTGACACATATTTAATGGGAGTTATATTAGGAAACACAATAAAAAAATACAGTTCGAGATCAAAGAAAAGGAAATTAAATTTGAAAATCAAGAAAGTAAAGAAAGTAAAGAAAGTTAATGTTTTGAACATATATGACCATGAAATGTTACTTTGTCACCCACTTTGAAATTTAAAAAAACAAAACGTAAAATTAAACGCATAATTTAGCAATTTACCGAATTTGGTAAATACGATTTATAATAATGATTGAATTTCGATGTTTCAGAATTGAAACTAAAGATGTATCTTAATTTGTCATCCAAAGTTGATAGTTTACTTTTTTTGGATATAGTCAATCAAAAATATATTGTAACCATAGCATTTGATGTTTATATTTCGTTTTCTTTTTGCTACAGTTAAGTTCCCAAGCGAGGGAATGAATTCAATCTGATGATAGATCTTCTATTAGCTTCAAGTTCTGTATCTTACCATTATGATTTTCCAGTTACACTTTTCTTGTCGTATAATTGCTATAGGAACAACTTGGCACGGGGCAAATCACACCAGACAAAGCACAGTTTGGATGATTTCAAAAAAGATAATTAACGTTTTGATCCTTTCCAAAAGTGGTAACCGCCAACAATAGACAAGTTCCTAAATTTTGACGACAAACAAAAATGCAAACCAAAAATAAATAAGCTCAACTCCCCATTTGAAAAGCTTAGAGTGGAGTGATTACGACAAAAAGATAAAGACGCTAATTAGTGATAATTTTCCGAAAAGTATAATTGCTTATTTGCTTATTACCCAATTTGGGTAATAAGCAAATAAGCGATTTCATTATACAGAAAAGACAGTGGTTAGAACAATAAAAAGTAGGACAATTAGTAAATAGAACTAATAGTATCAGTAATAATACTTTTCTTGAAAATAACCAATAAGGGTAAATATCCTGATTGGGTAGTTATGATGGAAATCTGAAATCTGATATCTTACTATTTCATTTTGGTAACTAGAACAAAGTTGGGCTAGCCACCTGTTTTTGCTTATGTTATTCTTAACTGGGAATACTAATGGAAGGAGACAGAGAAAGTGTGCAGGCTATTATTGCTTGTAACTATCTACCAAAGGTTTATACTTATAAAAATACTACATAAATAATGCTCGTACAGTGCTACATAAAGTATTTATTCTTGAAAGCTAATTTCATTTCTTAAAGTGTATTTAATATTGAATGTAAACCAAAACACCTCAAACAAAAAAAAAAATAACTTAGTAATAAGATATTTCATTGTCTCGACATGCAATCCCCGCACAATCAAGGAATGATAAACAAGGACAAAGTCCAAAAACCAAATAGAAAAAGAAAAAAAGAGACAATTGGCAAGCTAATGTTGGTGAGCATGAAAAAGCCAAAAACTTTAAACTGCAATTACAAAAAAAGATTCGTAGGAAAGGAGGTTAGACGGTAACCTTCGAGAAAAGCTCTTAAAGACCACAAAACTGAAACCACAATGCCTTCTCGGGGCATTGTATTCTCGGATTTACCACAAAGGCAAAATCTTACTGTGGTTTCTTATTTTGAGTGTTTTGTCCAAATTAGGAAACTACTACACACAAAGATACAAAGCTTTTTATACATATATTTCTAGTTTTCTTAACCCAAGCAAGAAGCGCAGTGAAAAATAAAGATGCTACGTCAAATCGATGTAGAATCGTCGGTTGGGTGAGGAGAAAGAGGGCAGAAATGTCCTATTGCGGTGCGGAAGAAGTAAAAGTGATAGATATAAGGCAGCGATGTAGGCGTCCAATTGAACGATGTGCTTATTTGGTCGTTTCTTTTGATTCAAGAAATATAAATGTTGATGATAAATAACAATTAAGTACGACGATTTTATAGAGGTGTAATTGATAATAACAAATCATAGAGAACCTCATAATTGAAACATGGCAATTGAACCGAATACAGGTATATACCTCATCTTTACATATGTTCATCTATTTCTCTCTCTAAATCCTGGAACTAATAACGAGAAAGGAAAATGTACAGAAACTAATGTTAGTAGTAATAGAAATAGCAATAGCAATAGCAATCATAATAGCAATGATACCAATGATAGTTACTTGAGGTTATGATTGGACAGAATCAGATTTTTGTCAGAACAGGAATTAGAAAAGACAGTTTGAATAAAATAACGACGTTAACTGCTTATGGGGTGTAAACTGGAACTTTATCTACATATGATAACCTCAGGTATCAAAATAACTTTTCAATATTATTAAAGTGTATCTTCACCACGGAGAACCATACCAATGTACAATAGAACATGGTTGAAATACCTTCCCTTATTAGCATAACAGGTAGCTCCGTCGTGTCTAGATTAACTTTAGTAGAGCAAACATCAAGAACATAAAAAAAATTTATTAAAATGATAACGTACCTTCATAGGTGGCTTTTGTAACAAACAGCTGTATAAAACAATATATTTTACAGAGACAAGAAAAAAAACATCATTCTTTTGCATTTGTTTCATTTGTGGATTATATTCACTATGATTTAAACAACTTTTCTACATTGCAACAAGACTATACTATACTATACACTCACAGCATCCATCATGATGAATTCATTAACTTCTTGTGAAAACTGTTTATCAGTACTTTTCCCATATAATTATTGTATATTTTTCAAAGATTTTTCTTTTGCTTTATTTTATTTTATTTATTCTTAACCAAATACCCACTCGCTTTTGAAAGCATCTGATTCTTTCACATTTACGCCGACAAAGGAAATATTTTTTCCTTCTCTCTCTTGTATCTCTTACTACCACTATTTTAACATCGCTTAGCAAAAGCGGAAAAAAAAATTATAACAAGAGCAATGTTTATCTTAATCTCGTATTCATAAATCCACTCACTCTCAGTTTTTCATTGTTTATCGCTTTCCTTTATTAGCTCATCTCCCTCCAGTATGGTCCTGCTGCGAGATGCCTTAGTATTCTTACCCACTCATACGCCCTTCTTAGCGTCAAATGCAAAATTGAAATCCAACCTTTCCCGATACTTGAATAGCTCCTGTACAATACAGTAATTTACAGTATTGTACAATTTAGGTTATTAACCTTTTTGTTGTGTGTGGTTTCACTTTTGTTGATGGTTTTTATTCTTATAGTATATCAAAACTCTTTTTTTCATTAGTGCACCAGATCAGTACTACACGTCCTGCCTAGATCTCCCAAGATACAGTTTGCTTTTCTTGCTCCGGGCAGTTGAATTACTAATAAAACATCATTCGTATTTGCCTTTGCCTTTGCCTTTACCTTTAACTTTTCCTGCTATCAATTATTGTATAATTCTAATAAGACCAAGTAGGGAAAAACCAAATGGTGACGTAAGTTGATCGATATCAATCAGTTTGGTTTGTATTGGATTTTAACATATGATTTGTTAAATCGTTTCTTACTAATATCTGTTATCTTAATGTTCTAGTACTTTTCCATAGATTAATCTAATTTCTTCCTTTGGAAAATTATAATGGGAAACAGAAACAGTAACGCTACTACTAAACCTAATTATTTTTAGTCCTTCCTCCTCGATTATGTTAAAGTTTTGATAGTACTAGCCGTCTGTATTAGTCAAATTTAAGTTCGCATTTTCATTTTAGCCTAAGCTCGAGCTCGAGCTTAAGTAAATTCCTACTTTATTTTACTAGATGAAATACTCTTTTCATAGACCATTCAACAAGTATATCCCAGATTCATAAGTATTCTGGTTGCACTGCATAGAATTGATAGTGAATTTCTATGTAGTGCTCGAGACTTATCTTGTTTCCAAGATCTTATTAGCCGTTTTTTGGTTTTCAATTTTTTTTTTCCATTACAAATATCCTCATCTTCGTCCTTTATTCAATGTTATTAGAAAGTTTCTATGTACTACTGAATATGACGTGAAATCCTTATTCTTGAAAAGGTTTTTCAGAGAGAAAACAACGTAAAGAACCTATAAGAAAACAGTCTTTCATCCTACTAGATATTAGAGTTCTTACTGGCATTATAGTCACCATTGCCATTGTTATTGTTATTGTTATTGTTATTGTTGTGTAATTTTTCACTCTCTTGACACAGAATGATAACGAAAGTATTTAAATGTCGGTTCTCTAAACGGCCACATCTCATTCACTACCTTCATTCACCAACTCAACTTCCTTAATCAGCAATCAAAACAGCAAAAACAATAAATCAAGACATTATAGCGACCTTTATTTTCACTTAATTGGTATAAGACTAGACGAAAAAAATTAATTAAATAAATACATTGGGTATATCAACAAATTGTTCGTCGAACTACCCTAATTAGTTTTGCATACATTTATATATAAATATAGAAACAAACATCTAGACTCTTTTGTCGGTACGATCCACAGAGGTAATTTAGAGTGCTTTATTTTTGAACAAAAAAAAAGATTAAAATTACATATATTTTGGTATAATCACATATATCAAAATTAAGAATATTTCAGATATGTACACAAATCAAGATATGCTATCAACTCCACCTTCGAAAAGGAAGTTAGAATTGCCAATACCGAGACGACCTTCTAAAAAAATTCATTTGAAGTCACTGGAGATTGTATCATCGGCATCTGCTGAAGCTTCACCAATTGTAAATCACAAAATAATATTACAAAATAAGGATAAAACAATCAAGTCAAATGGTATATCAGTTATATCACAAAGATTAAATGAAGAAGATACAGATGAAGAAGATGATATCGAAGACGATAATGAAATTTTTTCAAGTACTGAAGCTAAGATCTCTAGCCCATTTAGTGATGACAATATGACACCAACATTATCATCAAATGATGATCTAATAAAGGAAATTGGTGAAAGTAATATGTCAACGGTCAATTTATCATTGGATAAGCAATTAAAATTTCATTTAACAAATTTAATATTAAAAAGACAGCAGTCTGAAGAATTTAAATTATTAAATCACAATAAAGAATTTTCATCATCATATATTTCCAAGCCACAGCATAGATTTCAAAAGCCTAAAAAATCAATATTGCTATTACCAAAAAATAGTTTAAATATGATTGTTTCATCATCTAGAGGGTCATTAGAAGATGCAACAATTTATGCTACTGAAATAAATGCATCATTGAGCAAAGAAGGGTTTTCACTACCAATGGTAAGGAGCCCCGATGAAAAAGTTACAATCCCAGTTAATTCAGAGATCAAGAAGAGATATAAACAATTGAAAAAAGAATATTTGAATGCATTTGGAAAGATTGATACTGAATCAGACGCTGAAGAAGAAGAAGAAAAACAAGAAATAAATAAAAATGATGATGACATTAGTAATTCACAAGATGCTGCTTTAATAAGAGGTTATTATTTTGAAAATAACAGTAATTCAAATTATGATAATAAAAAATACAAAAAAGTACGCTGGACTTGTACTATTGAAGATTGCTAGATTGAAGATAGAAACTTTTTTTTAAACAAAATGATCCACTTGAATCAACCAATATACCAAGGATTATGATAGGAAGGGTAAAAACAAGGAAAAGATAAATTCCGATGTATATTGATCATAATCGATCAACCTTACAGTTTGTATTATTATTAACCTTATTATTTTTGGAATTTTACTAAAAAGGGAATAAGGTCAAAACTGACAAATACCCGAGTAATGAATGATTGACTATGAATAAAAGAAACAGTACTAAAGAGACAGACCTAACACAAAACACATATAACCTCGCTTATGTATGTATGTAATACTTAAAACTAAAAAGAAAGAAAATTTTTTAGAGAAGAAGCGCTCTTGTCGCAAGACTTGAACCTTTCATTCTACCAAAAGTATTTTGTATCAGTATATTGTAGAACATAAATAGATCACACTAAATAAATGTAACGATAGATATGCCTTTATGAAAAGCAATTAACTTTCACATTTCTTACTGTATTTTTACTTTTATCTTTTAAGCCTTATTTTTATCCTTATAGAATAGATTCATTAGGATAATCAATTGATAATTCTGTCCTCGACATGTCTTGTAAGTGTCACAGTTTGTAGATGTCTAAAAATAAAATACTTCTAGAACTTTGCCTTTCTGTCCTCGAACGACTCCAAACCAAATCTCCGAAACTTCTTTCTTTTACCTTCTTAGAAGGGAAGGGTAAAGCAGAGTAAAGGAAGCTTTCTATTCCGTTTCCGTTGTTGTTTTTTTAGCCTTTTATTTTTTTCTTTTCTTTTTTTTTGCCACCATCGTTCAATATGATTACAGTCATGTGGATCCGAAAGTGCGGATTTTGTTTTTATTTTTTACTGAATTAGGAAATATTTTACGGGCGCTTAATTTTTCTGATGAGCGTCTGGCCCAACTTCTTGTTCGAGCCAATCTCATCTATTATCTTTTCTTTTTCAAATACATTGTGCCTGAATTTTACCCGTAGACAGATATTGTGTTTTTACCAGAGGGAGAAATTGATGTGGTCGAAAAAAAAAAATTAAGGCTGCAGCCGAATGAAAACCCAAGACGAAGTACAGAGTAAAGATGCCTCTCCGAACATAATAATTATTCCATACACTATTTGTGAATTAATATGATCTAATAACTTTACCGAAACAAGCATTGTCATTGGCTAAGTTATCGTTTTTTATTATTGTGTTGATATACAAGGGAGAAATGGACGCAGAGAGAAGACCTATGAAATGAAGAAGAAACGAAGACCGACAATGCCAGATTAATATTGTATTGAAAACAACGAGATGATTCTATGAAAAAAACAGGTAGGGAAAGAAAAAAAATGGATTCATCTATCTTCTTACTACAACAATGTAAAGGTTTACGTTATTACCGGATTTTTGGCATCGACATAATAAGATATTTGGCGATTGGTTGGTAAAAAACCAAAATATTAGAAGTTAATTAGGGCTCCTGTGGGAATTGAACTACGTAAAGCTTAAAATTCTTAAGGTAAAAAAGTCCATATCCTTCCGTACCAAAAAGGCCACCTCGCCCTTTTTCTTTGAAGCCCCGGCAAAGATAAAGGGCAAAAATTAATTTCTTTTTCCGGAAGCTAGGGAAAAAAAAAAAACCAACCCCGAAATTATTGTGCCTAGGGGAATAACCAGAAAAATT